ATTTTATATTTTAGTACACTGAATAGGAGCCAAAGGAAAGCATGTTGTTTTACACAAACCTCTAAAATTACAACGCAGTAGGCCTAACAAGTGTGTGAAGTGAGTGTAAGCTTTATGAATGAAATACGCGCAAATAAAATAGCAGTGTTGCACTTGCCTTTTTCCATGCATTTCCTGGAAATTACTTAAATAAATTTCCATATTTCTAAACAGCGTAGGAACCCTTACTGTTTTAATTAGAATATATTTAAATATTTATTTATCGAATCATGGAAGGTCCCCAAGCTGGGACTCGAACTCAGGTTCCCCGAAGCACAACCACACTGCATCTCCAAACACTGCCTAAACAAGGTTATCGGCTGTATATCTAACTGTAAGAAGATATTAAATAAATGTTATAATCATAAAAAAAATATTATTTTAAGTCAAGTCAAGTCACCTTTATTTATATAGCGCTTTTAACAATACAGATTGTGACAAAGCAACTGAACAGTATTAATTAGGAAAATAGTGTCAATAATGCAAAATGACAATAGTAAACACTAATTTTTCAGTTAAAGACAGTTCATCATTGAATTCAGTGATGTCAACATCCAGCTTAGTTCAGTTTAAATAATATCTTTGCAATTATGTCAACGATAACGCTGGAAATGAAGTGAAGTTTATTTTAGTTAAACACAGTTTCCCTTTCATGGGAACTTCGAACTGCGTTCTCTAGGGGTCGCTATGGGGAACACCTCGTCGTGACCCGTGTCTGAAGCATACATTGAAAAAAAAAAAACACCAACTTGTTGGCCGGCGACAGCCATGACGTCACTACCGGTGCGACTATAGTATAAATAGGCGCCGGGAGCACACATAATTCTCTTCTTCGTCTTCATTGACTGTTTTGTTTGAAGCGTGCATTTCTGTGGTAAGAGCAATCTCTATTCATCTCATTATGTCGAGCACTAGCAAAGCGTTTAAGGATGTGGGCATCCGTGTTGACATTGTTTAACATCTGATGACACACACAATCTATGCGTTATTTGTGTGGGTGAGAGCATGCACGCGATGCCTCCTAGGGGACAATCGGCGTGCACTACGAGCGTTTTTTCCAAGGGAAATAGCTCCGCTCTCGTTTGTCTCTCTTTTCGAGGAAAAAGGGACAGCTGTCTGCTTCGCGGCAGATTTAGGACCTGCCGCTGCTGAGGCATGGAAGGGAATGAGCTCGTGGGGATCGCAGGTGGATCTGGCCGTCCTCTAAGACTCCCCTCCTTGACATCTCGCTCGGATCCCAGGGCATACGCAGCAGCAGCAGGTCGGGCTGTCGCTTCATTGCACACAATGGTGCGACCTGCTGAAAGACCGGGATAGCGGCCTTCACGAAGTCCGGGTCTGAGCCCAAACAAACCCAGGGGTCCTAGCCCGTCTCGGTTTGAGGATCAGAGACTGGCTCAGAAGGCTAGTGTCGCGGCTCACGCTCCTCCCCCGCCCGCGGGTAGGGGTAGGAAGAATCGCGGGTCAAAGGAACGTAAGTAAAAGACCTAAGGGATGTGATCCAGACAGGGTGTCAGCGCTTTTGTCTGGATCAGAGGGATACCTCAGTATCTACTCATTTCCTTCGGGGGTCTTATATCTGCCCTTATCTTCACCTTCCTAATTCCCCTGTAACCACCATCTCTCCACCTGACCGAGGTTAGGTGGGAAATTTTCCTGCATTATAGTCTCCTTTGCTGGACCTATTAGGTTTGGTTGGTTCTATGGCTTCATAGTGACCATCTTACTGATGGTCCGGTCTAGAGGCTTCTTCGAACAGAGCTCTGACGTGGGAACCATGGTGGGTGAGTACGATCCATGTCTAAATATATGTATATATAAATATATATATATATATGTGTGTGTATCTAATGAGATGGTGGTTGTGTGTATAACCCTTCTGCTAGTTTCTTTGCAGTGTTTCCCGGGACCTGTGTGTTTCTGTCCCTTTCTAGGGTAGGTCCTTGATGGGCACCCCCTCTGCTGGGTTCAGAAACCGGGTGCTCGACTTGCAGTGTTTATTTCACTCGTTGATATATGTCCAGACGGTAAGAAAAGCCGGGTTTCGGCTTCATACTTCCTGGATCATGCGGCCATAACACAGGCTTCTGCGGGAGCTTTTGTTATCATCTGGTCCCCGGCGCGTCTCTGCAAAAAATGTCCTGGACGTCCGGGCTGGGGTTACGCTTTCATGCTACCCTGACTGGTCTACCGTATCTGGGTCGCCCTGAGGGGCTTCCCGATCGCCAGGATATCCCCTCTTGCTGAGGCATTGAGCGTGAGGTATAGGTGAGAACCTTCCTGTGTAAATGCTGTCTCGGGCAGTGCTCCCCTCACCTTTGAGGGTTGTATTTGAGCTTGCGAGCTTGGTTTGACTGTGAGCAGATGCTTGGAAAACTCTAAAATCCAAATACTATGGTAAGTGCACACGTTAAGCTTTGTGCACTTTTCTACAAATCCACATAGCTGGTAAGTGTGCACGTTATGCTTTGCCCACTTTCTAAAATCCACATAAGTGGTAAGTGTGCACGTTATGCTTTGCCCAATTTTCTGAAATCCTGTATGGTAAGGGTTACACGTTATTGACCTCGTTCCCTTTCTCTGAGTTAGTTTACACCCCGGTACCTTGGGCTCCACTCAACTAGTGTGTCTCTATCGACACACCCTGGAAGCATCACTCCCCTCACCATTGAAGGTTATTGTGAGTATGGTGTTTCTTTCTAGCGTTAATCCTCTCTGAGGAGTTGGATTCCTCGCTCCATGGGCTTTCCTCGTGGTAGTATTGAGCAGTGCTCCCCTTTTTTATCAAAGGATTACCTGGAATTAGCAACACTATTCCTCTGAATTCGGAGTTCTCCTCTCACATTTTTGAGTTCTCTGTTTCTCCAGAGCACCTGGAACCAGCAGCATCAGGCGATGTAGGCCCTTCCTCTACCTCCCTGATGCGCTGAGTGTTTGGCTCGCTTGCAGTACGCTTACCCTTCTGGTTTTACAGTCACGCTGTAGGTCGAGCCCCCTCTCGTTGAGAGCTGGGTTTGTGCTCCCTCAGCCAAGGTAAATTACTGCTAGCCGTTCCAGCATTGGAACATACTGTAGGTCGAGCCCCCTTCTCGACTGAGAACTAGGTGTGTTGCTCCCACAGCTAAGTAAATTATTGCTAGCTGTTCCAGCTTTGGAACATGCTGCAGGTCGAGCCCCCTTCTCGTTTGAGAACTGGGTGTGTTGCTCCCTCAGCTAAATAACTGCTATCTGTTCCATCATTGGAACATGCTGTATGTCGAGCTCCCTCTCGATTGAGAGCTGGATGTTTGCTCCCTCAGCTACAGATTACTGCTAGTCACTCCAGCATATTAGCCGTAGATTGACTTTATGACTTCTCAAACATAGCGTTTTGGGATGCGCCATATCCATCTATGGGCTGCTCTTTCAGAGTGCCATGAGAACCCCTTAGAACGGTATTTTTAAATCCATGTTATGGTAAGTGTGCACGTAAAGTCTTTGTACACTTTCTAAAATCCACATAGCTGGTAAGTGTGCACGTTATGCTTTGC